CATCCGGCACGTTGGTCACTTCCACTGTTTAGAGCTTTTCTACACGTTGTCGAAGCATAGACCATATATCAAGGATGTGCCTCCTAATATTTAGTATCAATCTAGGGTGGGGGTGCATGTCAGTACCAATGTAAGGGATTTATAGCAAACACTCTACACCAGATATTTAAAAAATGGATCAACTGATTTGAATGAAACTTAAGGGAAAGTTCAACCGAGTTACAAGGAAGAATTATTATGTGTTGTGGACAATACAGTTTAGGGTGTAAATTTGAGGGTCATTCAAATTTTTGAGGCCCCAGACCTGAATCTATCTTTAGAAAAAAAATCAATTGGTCAATCAACGAAACTTTCTATAATAATTTGTGAAGGTCTAGTAAAGAAATAATTACATTTTTGTGACACTCCGGAGCAGGGTGTGAATATTGCATTGCAGCAATATTTCGGGTCTCACTATGTCGTGGTAGTCGTGAACTTGGTTTTAATTGTTTTTTTTAACTTCATAATATGTTTAGTACTATAAGTACTTTTGGTTTCCGTGTTTTGTTTTATTTTTTTATCATTTCTCATTATAGCAATGAGGAAAAGCCCTATGTTCTGTTGTACAAACGACATAGTAAGTCTAGTTATTATTATTATCATTATTATTATTATTATTATTATTATTATTATTATTATTATTATTATTATTATTATTATTATTATTGTGGTAATGATTATAATAGTATTATAATGTAATAAAATAATCTATATTATCGAGCAAGGCCTTAGTTTGTGCCGATTTGCCGTTCAGACGCGTGCACAGCTCTGGAAGAAATACCTGTATATAGTAGCACCATTCTTTTAAATGTCTTACTATCTGGCATATTTTGAGCTCCTATTTTGTCTATTAAAATATCATATTTTACGAATTAACAATTTTACGAATGTACAAAATATTGGACGAGGATGTCACTCTACAAAAGCAACACATGTGAGAATTTATTATTCAAATTACGTTAGTACAGTACAGCGAAAGGAGGAGCAGATTATTATGTAAGTGGTACGTACCACTTCAGTATTCGCGACTGATACAAACACGTATATGTTCACTAAATGATGGAATAAAAATATTATAAACTCCTGACCATGTTAATCACGAAAAACAAGTCAATACAACACGAATAAGTAATGTCTACTTCTATCAAATTTCAGCAGATATTGTACAATCCATTTTTTACAATATTCCTTACCAGTATGCCTATATAACCTGCTTTAACATTATAAACAAAATTATTATTGGCTCATGTTTTTATTTATTTAAAAGGTAATTTGACTTTCATTTGAAAAAATGAAGAAAAACATAAAAGTGGCTCAACAAAAATGCAAAATCTTCAAGGGGGTCACCACCCGACTCCACTCTAGCGTAATCACAGACCCCTACAGGTGATACACCTGGGTGGATCCATAGGCGGCGATGGTCGTCCCCGCCCTTAACATGTTAAAGTGCTTTTAAATTTTAGCTGGCAAAAAAATGTACAGATATTAAGTAAATAGTAAGCAGCTATTTCTTTAGGGGTGGGGGTAATTTATGAGAACAATTTTAAGGCTAATATTATTGTTGGCGTTAAGTCTCTCGAAAGATGGGAGGGTGACAAGTAAGAAGACAGTTCCCTAATTAATCTTGCTTTATTTTTACAGGAGTTCCCTTCTTTCTGCACCCCTCCTGAAAATATCTGGACCCACCCCAGTAGCTCACAGCAGAGTATTCAGTATGTTAAGGTAAGTGGAACGTACCACTTAAGTGAGTGCAGCTGATACAAACAGGTTAATCGCTAAAATAAGTCAATATATGATGAATAAGTAATGTCTCAGACTACATCCATCACAACATTTTATCATGTATTTTATAATCTATTTTTTACAATATTCTTTACCAGTATGCATATGCCTAGTATCTTACCAGTAGGCATAGGCTTAGTATCTTACCAGTAGGCATAGACCTAGTATCTTACATGCTTTAACAATATAAACAAAATTATTATTGGCTCATGTTCTTAATTTAAAAAGCAATTTGACTTTCATTTGCAAATGTCTTTCTAAAATTACAGTTAAAGACGAAACTGTATTCAATATCATGCTTTAAAATATTCTGTTATGGCAATAGTTGAAGCATTTGGCCGACTGGGCTTCACAAAATGATAATAATAATAAAATTAACTTTAAAAAAAAAGCATAATAAAAATATTATGTTCATTAGCACACATTTCAAAATACATTGCAAAGTAGACATTCAGATGCTTATAAAAACGTAGAATATGGTAAAGAGTGATTATTTTATGTTTGCATATTGAGGAATAGCATTATTAATCGAGTCAGACTCATGTCCCATACGTTTCATTGGGATCTCATTTTCGCCTCCGGTAACTCGAACGTTTTCTTCTGTTGTAGCTACCTCAAGTCTACTTGTCTGTGGCATTGCATAATCATACGTGTTTTGAGTCCCTGTTTGGATGGCATCGTATTGATTTTCCTGCGTCAAATCATCTTTGATGAGCTTGGTATAGTTATCAAGTTCATTTTCTTCATCAACTACTCGGGTATTTGCTGTCACTTGAACTTCACATTTATTCGTATTGTTCCCATTTGTGGGGATGTATCTGGAATAGTTCATTAAATGTATTAGACTTGGACTTCAAAGTGAATATTAAGATGATTAATTGGTTGGTTGTCGGTCAGTTGATAGGTCGGTAGGAGATGAATATATAAATAAAATAATGAGTGATAGAAATGGATAGACAGGACGAACAAACAAATGAAAAATTAACGAGTAAATGAGCATAAGAACAAATAAAGATAACAGACGGCCAATAATGTTATGTGTAAATAAATTTAATAGATTGAGAATCAAGTAAGTTCATATACAAATAAGCCTAAACTATATGTAAAATTAGCAACAATATTATAAATATAAACATCTCAATAACATTTAAAATTAAAATATATTATTCCTTTTAATAACCTATCGTGAAACATTATTGTCATAACAATTTCACATTAAACATTAAACAAAAACATTTAATAAATAAAAATTAAAATGATACAGGAAAAGTCCACAAGATCAAGCCAATATATCCACAATCTGATGTTAACACATTTGTTATTGTGTTGAGTTGGACCGAATAAATAATTGAAAAAAAAAAAAAATTAATGGCAAAGTGCAATGGAGAAACATTAAGTTAAGATGCTAGATACACTATACATGTAATCCTTAATATTAAACACTTTTAAGTGCTTTATTAAAATAACTGAAATGATTCATGTATTCATTTTATTTATTTATTTCTCTTTATTGCATACATAAAGAACAAAAAGAATACAGGTACGATAGTATGCAATAGGAGCCAAGAAGAATAGCCAAAGCTAATCGAGCTTGAGCCCCTTCCAAATTAAACATTAATACATATGATAAAATATAAATTGATAGTATAAAAAAAATGTAAAAGGCATCATACTTAATATTCATTAAACAAAATGTCTTTAATTTTTGAAACAAAATTTGTTCTTGAGGAAAACTATACCTGTAGTATAGGTAAAATACCAAGGAAAGAAGAAAGATGATGATGATGAAAAGAACAACCACTAATGCAATCATAAATCCGGGGATTGATGATCCTATGGAACATAATAATAATACAGGTAATAATAATAATAATAATAATAATGATAATAATAATAATAATAATAATGATAATAATAATAATACGGAAAGGTCAACTGATTAATCTCAGATATAATATAATACATACTCCATTGATATACACGCCATCGTGTTGAATCCAACACGATGGCATGCACTTCAATATTAGCATGTATTATACAATAATGTTAATAATAATAACGCTATTACTGTACTAACATTAATAACATTAAAATAGCAATGACATTTTAATATCTGTAGAAGCCAGTGAGCATGCATAACCCAGCTCCTCTTCTTCTTACCAAGTCTATTCACGAGATCATACCCTGTAGAGCCATGCCGATTTAGGTCCCTAAAAACTTGACATTACATTAGTAATGTAAAGTGGTGAAAAGATTAGTAGGAACATGGCTGTGATGTGAATTCTCCTTTCTTGACCCCACTCCTTTTGCTGTCAATATGCCAAAGAAGTGTAATTTGATAGCAGATGCCGCCAACATTTATTTCTTGTTCGTTCATCAGTTTATTCATTCAAATCATTTATTGTGGTCTAAAAGTACTTTTTTATCGTCCTATTAAAAGCCATTAAAAAAATGCTCCCCATGAACCCACCAGGTTTTTTTTTTTTTTGGTTTTTTTTTTTTTTTTGGTAATAATTCTAAAAACACAGTTATTCTATCTTTTTATATTTCTAAAGGTATTAACTTGGGGTGGTGATGAAGTAGATAGATTTAATAAATTATAAAACACATTAACCAAATATTAATGCATATGATATTGAGAAAGAGCATGATAAATATGATAAATGTACTAAAATTACAATATTATACAATGATTAAAAACTGTTATTTTTTTAAATCAGGGATCAAGATCTACCATTATTTCTACTGTGCTGCTTGACGAATCCACTGATTCTACACACTAGGATACTCGAGTGGGACCCTGGCCAAATTTGGCCCACAAGCCGCAAGCAGTGGTGGCGCCAGTGGGGATGGGGGAGATGGTTATAATGTTATTTTGACTGCTATTTTCCCCCCACTCCCATCAGACAGGTCTTGACACCTCTGTCCTCCGACACACAACTAGGTCATCTTTATCAAAAATAATAATTTGCCTATCCAAATAACCTTATTTTGACTGCCAATTCCTAATATTGTGGTTTAAATGAAAACTCGCCCTGTGAACCCTAAAAGGGAGTTTTTATTCCGGGCCATCAACCGGTGGTTCATCAGCCCCTTCGCTCGGACCCCTCTGTCGGGCATATCGGACCCCTTGTAGGCAAATTTCTGGCGCCACCGCTGGCTGCAAGCAATTCAATCAGGCCTGTGAATGCATAAAAAAAAATCAACATAAATATAAAGCCTTTGAATGTACCCTAGCATTACTGTACCTTAAACACATAATCAAACTCATAAAATTTTACATCTGACCATTTAGGTACTATACCAAAAATAAAAAATGAAAACCTCATCTGCAACCATGGTGGGGCTGATGTGACTGAATTTGGTGCAAAACAAATCTTGACTATTAAAAAGAACTGATTCATTAAGGTTTACTAAACACACAAATAAAAAAAATATCATTATCAATGTTAGATTATTTAATAATAAATACATAACTATTAAGCCTACCTGTTCCTGTACTTGAACCTGTTACTGCTTTGGTAGAGCAGCTCCAGTATCCAGCACCTGCCCCGTTGATAACTCTAGCCTAGAATGAAAACATATTTTCTCGCTAATTGTGACACATATTACCATTAAGATATATGTACCACTTGCAGAATATAAATGTAATGACAGGTAGTATAAATATCAAAGAGATTACCTAAATCAATAATGATGCTTATAGTAAAAAAAGGAAAAAAAATATAACCATGTACCCGGGCAGATAAATAAACGTTGTATTCCCATGCCACGACGGGTTGATCCATAAAAAAAAAACCATATAGGACACACATAATCCTAATTTAATTTTATTTTGTAGTCATAAGGAAAGTGATGAAAGCAGTTCAGCTATTGCATTGATAAATGTTTTATATATTGTGAGGAAGATTGATACGATTTCTGAATGGGGATTTCACAGTAGCACTTAAATAATAATTAAATAATTCCTTAATTTCATGGTGGCAGATGCACTAACAAGCATAAAATAAAATGTTATGATTATTCAAAATCATCATTTAAACAGTGTACATCATTTAATACTGTATACTGAAAGAAGCACCAGCTTTACTTACACTGACTTCATAGTCTGCATCTGTTTCTAGGCTTGTTATTTTGTAACCATTGCTTCCTTGACCTTTTGTAATTGCTACATCAATCCACTCCTCATCACTATCAGCTAATCTGTATCTTAAATCATACTCCTTTATGTCCCCATACAGATTATTGCCAATTGATTCACACGGCATTACGGAAACTGTGAGGTATGTACCCTCATGTACTGCTGAGACATCTAGGGGCGGAGGTTCTAAAAGATTAGAATGTGAATATAGACAGGTTTGTGACTTGAGCTAAGAACCACGTTAATATGGCTTTAATTAGGTCAGCATGTAAAGTAATCAAAAGGAAACAAAGGGTCACTTCCTGTCCGAGCTACCTGGTAAACTGGTACCATACACTCACCTGTCCACAGGTAAGGACCAGTGCATCGGAGTAGACTCGTCTTGAAAGATATTCTAGGTTCTTTCAAAAGTTGTTCTTTATAGTGCACATGAGCCAAATATGTAAATATGTTCATAGTCCTAATCCAAGAAGACATGTTTGATCATCAACCCATTTGCGAGCTATATGTTGTGGCACCCCTGCTTTGATCGCTCTGCCATTTGCCAATAAAATTAAATTTGAATTCCATCTGTTAAACTTTAAACAGTGTGAAATCTAAGAAAAGTGTATTGTTTTTCAACATTAATATTTAACATTTTAGTACAACTAAAACTAGTCTAAAACTTATAAATCTCTGTCCACTTTATCAGGTGTTTTGTGATTTGCCCGTATATGGTCATATCATCATATCTCACCCATATAAGGACATGATGATGTCATACCACACATGAATAATTATAAAGCAAAGCAGTTATTTGTCACATAGAACTTGATAGCCTGGATAGAGGTTAGAAAAAGCACTGACTCTCTTCAGGTGAGAACACTTGCACCACTCCTGCTATCCCAGGGGAATCTTTGTTACTTGCTGCTACAGAGATGCTGTATTCTGTGTATGTTTCAAGTCCCATTATTGTATAAGAATCTTCTGTTGTTTCATTAGTGACCATGGGCATGTCTGTATTAACAGGTCTATAAGATATGGTGTAATGATCTACACCAGCTGAACACTTGGACTCCTCAACCTGGAAGGAAAAAAATTATAAAAATATTATTTTATGCACAGACTTTCTAAATATATATATAAACAAAAAGTCCCATTATGATATAATTTAATTCTTTTGTAGTTTTCTCAGTGATCGTGTCCATGTCTGTATTAACCGCTTTATAGGATATACTTTAATGAACACAGGTTCAACACTCATCGTGTGGAAGGAAAAAAATTATAAACAAAATAATGTTTGTTGAACATGTTAAAGAGAAAAATTACAGATTAGGGAAATATTTATCCAAAAAAAAGTCATCTAAATTAATAATAGAAAAGAGGCTGGAATCAGTACAATAATTTGATCCGATGCAAACAAATGACATTTTTGTTGATTAAACAAAACTGAAAGAAAGAAATCCGGAGTGACTGATTCAAGCTATAGACAGGTTCTATTTTAAGCTAACAAACATGGTTTATCTGAATTTGTAGAAAAACTAGTAAAAAGAGAATTCTGATATATATGTATGGATATCAACTGCAATTTCCATCAAAGTAGGGAAACAGATTAAACATTGATTGATTGATTGATTGATGACCTTATATTTGCAATTGCCTAATTAAAAAATGTAGTTTTAAATTTTAATTTAATCTTCAAAAAATTATATTACCTTAATTTACATGAAAAATGGTTGTATAATGTTTGTTTCATGAGTTCTAATTAAAATTTATAGTGGGTATTTATTTGATTGACAAGTGGAAATAAAAGTGCGCAGCCATTTCAGGGACGTATCCAGGGGGGGGAGCCGTGGGAGCTGCGGCTCCCCCCCTTTGTACACAGTGTTAAAATTTTAAAGCTTATTCTTGAGCCAATACAAATTCTTTCCTGGGATCACTCAAAATGAATACTTCTAAACATGTAAATATGCATCAGTACACGTTATACAT